ACCTTAAAACAAAGATGAGAACGTAAGTAGGGTATGGAAAGTAGATTAATGGAAAAGGAAAAACCAGAATGGAAATAATGAGAATGTTCACGCATTGTGAAGAATGTAACTATTGTTACTGAACAATTTGTGTAGAAATTGTCGAATGGGAACCTAAACTGCTGTAAAAACCTTCACCAAAAATACAATAAAATATTATTTTTAAAACATTTATCCGGAAGAGCAAAGAGGAAAGAATATTCGTGACAATTTTAAATAATAATAACAATAAGGTATTGTCCTACCAGATATATACTTAGTATAGATGTGATGATCAAAAACAGTGTGGTAATGATGTAGAGGTCAGAAACAAACCAAAAAAACAATAAAATAGAATAATGAGCTTACAAACAGAATCAGATATGAATGGGTGCTTGATATATCAAAGATGTAAGATTGTAAAACAGTGAGGAAAAGAATGGACCATTCAATAAATAATATTGAGACACCTTGTTACCTACGTGGAAAAAGGTAAAATCAGATTAAAAGAATTACAGGATTAAGACACCTAAATATAAAAAAGCTAAACTGTAAAACTTAAAAAAAAAGATCATTTTTAGAATACTAGGGAAAGACAAAATTTCTTTAATAAGATGCAAAATATAAAACAGCAAGAAAAGGTGTATAAGCTTGAGATTACAGTGAAGAAATGTTATACATTAAGGCACCAACAAATATATGAAAGACAAACCACAGATTGGAATAAAATATTTGCTATCTATATACATGACAAAGGTTAGGTATCCAAATATATAAATAACTCCTAATACATTAACAACAAAAGGCAAAGGCCACGGTAGATAAATGGGCAAAGACTGGTACGTGAAGTAAATAGCCAATTAAAATATGGAAAGGTTCTCAAACTCACTAGTCAAAACAACATCCCATCTTACATTCCTTAGCATCTAAGCATATCACGTTTTACTGAGGCTATGGGCAAGTAGATACTCTGGTACACGCTGGTACAACTCTTTTAGAGATCAATTGGTGGTGCAATGTTTAAACGCTCGGCTGCGAACCAAAAGGTTCAAACGCAGGTGAAAAGACCCATTCGAACCCACCGGCTGCTCCATAGGAGAAAGATGTGGTAGTCTGCATCTGTAAAGATTACAGCCTAGGAAACTCTATGGGGCAGTTCTACCCTGTCATATAGGGTAGCTATGAGTTGGAATCGACTTGATGGCACACAACAATAATAAAATAAAAAATGTACTTTCTCTGTGAGGCTCCTGGGAATTCATATGCTAGTTGTCACAATGATACATATTCAAAGATGTGCATGCAACTTTATAAATCGAAAACCTGGAAACGAACTTACTGTGTTTCCAGGCATGGGAAAATAAGCTGAGCTTTGTTAATATAGTTGTGTACTATGCAGCAGCTATTACTACTAGTTGAAATCAAGTCAATTCCGACTCATAGCGACCCTATAGGACAGAGTAGAACTACCCATAGAGTTTCCAAGGCTGTAATCCTTACAGGTGCAGACTACCACATCTTTCTCCCATGGAGCAGCCGGTGGGTTCGAATGACCAACCTTTCGGTTAGCCGCTGAGCTCCTTTAACCACTGCACCACCAGGGTTTCTTACTACAAATAGATTAAATCTATATATATTAACACGGATAAAATCCAAAAACATAATACTGAGTGATAATCACAAGCTCTAATAGATATGTGTAATATGAAATGATTTATTACATTTAAAAAACTACAAAGCAAAAATGTATATATTTTTCATGGAGACTACACTTACAGACATATGGAGTATAAATACAAAAACGTGTACAGGAATGATATACACAAATGTCCTGGAATAGAAGAGGAGGCAAAGAATATGTGTATGACTTTTTCTGTACTTATATGTATATATATATTTTTTTTCCTAAAGGGAAAGATCTGAAAGCAAACAAGTCAACATCTATTAACATTTGATTAACCTCAAGGATAGATAAATTGACGTCTTTTACATTACCTTTGTTTGTTTGAAATACTTCCTAAGTCAACTTAATTTTTAAACTTAAAAAGAAACCAGGTGCTAAAGTATATACTTCTCAAATGCAGCTGTTGTTCAACTCTTGATATTTGTTTGCCATATTTCTGCCCTGTCTGGGATTTTAAGGCAAAAAAGAGGAAGGGTAAACCACAATATCTCAAATCATGAACCTCATCTTATTCAGAGATCAGCAAAGGAGCTCTGGCATAGCTTCACTCCCATATCTAGTGTCAGCAGAGTGAGCTGGGCTCTGGGAACAGTTATAATTTGGGGGTGCTCTGTGGTACCAGGCCTGGAACTGGATGTCTGCAGCAAAGCAACAGAGAGGTTGTACTCTGCGTGCTTCAGTACAAATTGTGTGGGTGGACAGTTCCTCCCAGTCTAGACTCAGCACGTAGGGTCACACCACTGATATCCCCATGCTTTGAGAACTGTTAAAGTAGAATTAAAGACATTTAGAGAAAATCATGTCCTTAGCTAATATAGCAAAAAGATTATAAATATGATGATCCAAAGGCTAAATTTAGCCCTCACTTATACGTTGTTTGGCCCACACTGTGCTATTTTGGAAAGTTTTGATTTAGCTGCTAATACTTAAAATTAGAGAGATTTCTCAAGTAACTAGATGTCCAGTTTATCTCCTGAAAAACAGGAAGTCTGAAGCTACAGAATTCTAGAAGGCCAACAATTGGCATCAAAGAGCACCTGTCCTCCTCCTCACTTCTGCTTCAGTCATTGTATCACCTGCTGACCCCAGTAGGCATTTCAACTCCCCCACTCTACAGATGAGAAAACCGAGGTTCAGAGAGGTACAGTGCTTTGCCCAACACCAGTTACCCCGTGGGGGGATCCATGTTCACAACATATGAGCCAAGTATCAGTTAACTTGTGATTCCTTTTCTTCATAAGATGAAAGCACATTTCATAATTTCTAATGACATACGTTCCATGTAATTCAGAAGATACGATGGAATTGATAATCCTCGTAACTTTTAACAAAGACTTATTTCAAGTGAGTATAAAAAAAATACAAATGAATTAACTGTAGCGTCAACAAGAAGTCCCCAAGATTTAGCCAAACTCAAAACAGAAAATTTTGCATAGGAAAAATATCAAGAAAATATGATACTGTAACTGAAGTTAGTGTAATCAGAGGTTGAATGGTCATGGAGCATCCATTCTGTAGGCTGATCCTAACACGTGTAACTCCTCCCTTCCTCCCCCAGCACCTTCTCCCTATTTCTCTCCTCTTCTTTGGAGCCCAGAAAGATGTGCAAACTTTCTTCTGAAACTCTTCCCCAAGCCTCCCCATAACATATAATTATTTTGAGGTTTTTACTTTTTGGATTTATTTATTCCTGAGTTAAAGGTGGTAGATAATCCCCACTGATTTAGATGAGATTTATTTATCATGCCAAGAAGTATTTAGCTACCTGGGTTGGGCATTGCTAGTTTATGCAAAGTGCATTTTTGTGAGAACCAGCTACAGGAAGAGAGGATACATGACTTACAAAAAATCCTTTAGACTGTAATAGCAAAACACTCAAAATAATTAAAATGTAGATCGATAGTAGAAAAATTCAATTAACTTTGGTATATTATGTGGAAAACAATGCAGCAGAGCAACAAGAAAAAGAGGTAGACCTTAAATACTGACAGGTAGACCTTAAATACTGACATAAAAAGATTTGTAGGTTGCAAAAATACATATATATATACATAGCCTGGTATCATTTATGTTAAAAAACACAAACAAAAACACTATATTGTCTATGGGTCCATATATGTGTAGGTAAATAGAAAATGTCTGGAAAGAAAGGAAAGTGGTAATAAGGGATACTTCTGCGGAGAGACTGGGAGAGGTATATGAGTGCTTAAGGACGTTTTAGCTTCATTTGCAATGTCTTAATTTAAAATTTAATTTAAATAGAAAACACTTTTGGAGTATTTGTGGCCAGAGTTTCTAAGAAGCTCTTCATGTAATATAAGTATTTTTACAACTATCAATTTCCAATAATAACTTATTGTTAAAATTTGTAAAACATCTGCTCATCCTTGGAAATGAAAATTACACCATGGGCTATCACCCCCAGATTAATTTTTTAAGGGTAAAAATAACACAAGACATCTGAAAAGTTAAATTTCAACTTTCACAAGTAAGTTAACTCTGGAAGCCGAAATAGTTTTGAGGACACCTAATTTTTTTTTAGTGGAAAAGAATAAAAACTATAGGGGTGGATTTAAATGAACCCAGGATTGTTTAAAATCTGAATACTGGTCAAAGTGATAGACTGCTTAATATATCCTAACATGAGTTCTCTTTCTACGGTACTTCTAATTTTTCATTGACGGCATGTTACTTCCCCCATCTTACCGATAGTGCATTGGAGGGCAAGTTTTGACTAGGAAGAAACCGAGACCAAACAGGTCAGAGTTCAGTGTGAGGTCACACACAGCTGGGACCTGGCCACGCTGGGATTTAAAGGGAGATTTCTACTCCCAGCCCTGTGTGTGCCCATGCTGCCTGCTCTGATTCACCATCAGTGACACCGCGTGTCTCTCTCTCTCACGTATTCGTCCCTGAGGAGTATTTATTTTTTCGCTGACCTCTGAAGCACTCGCCCCCCATCCATAACCCCTAGGGACCGGCACAAGCTTCCGCCCCGCCACGTCCTTCTCATCCCTGCCCCAGGCGAATTCCACCTGTTCCCTGGGCATCCCCGCGAGCTTTCAGGCACGTTGCCCGCCCAGGGACCCGCACAGAGCCGGGAGCCACCGCACTGCCAGGCGGCGGGGCAAGACGGCGCCCTGCGGGTGGGCTCTGGCCTCCAGGACCCCGTGACCGAAGGCGCAAGGTGGGGTCGCGCAGCCCCGCACTCACCTTGCCCGCTGCGGGCGCCGCCGCCAGGAGCACCAGCAGGAGCCGCAGCAGGAGCGCCGGCGGCCTCGGCTTCGTCCCAGAGAGCATGGTGGCCACCCGCGCGGGGCCCGGGAGCGCCCGGGGACCCGCAGGCTTCCGGCCAGTCAGTCCCTGCGCGGCGCAGGCTGGGCGCCCCGGCCGTGAGGCTGGCCGAGCCGGCGCGCCAGGGCGGGTTTTGTAGGGTTCAGCCGCGCCGTCGTCTCTCCCCACAGTCGCTTTGGCCGAGGCTCCGCGGGAGGGAAGAAGTGGGGCAGGTCCCGCCCTCGTCCCCCCCTCCCAACTGACCAGGCGGTGTCCCTCCGACCCGGGCATCGTGCCCAGGAGGCGAGCAAGGGGTGAGATCCTGTGGGCAGGTGGGCGCGGACCCAGGGCCCGGGGTTAGGGAGGTGATGCTCCCAGGGTCCTGGGGCCTTGGTGGGTGGGGGGTGCGGGTCGGAGGTGGGGAGTTTGGAGGTGTGCGGTGGGGAGGCGCTGCGTAGTAGGTTGGAGGGAGTGGCCAGCGGCCGTCCTCAGATTAAGCGGGAGGCGCGCAGGGCGAATACACTCCGGCGGCCCCGCGCGCTCTCGGCTCCCGCGCCGCTGCCCTCTAGCCGCTTTTCTGCTTCTCCAACTCGCCTCAAGTTTACAGCAGCCAGACTTGGCGGTTAGAGCGCCGCGGAGAGGCGGCCGGGTTGCGTGCGGCTGGTGCGCGGGGAGCAGGGAGGTGCGCGCCCCGCGGGCAAGGAGGCGACTCCCAGCGCTGCGGGCGTTCCCCGAGGTAAGGCGCCCACCGGCTCAGGCTGGGCAATCCCTGATGCCATCTGGGTGGGCGAAGGGGCCTGGACATCTACCGAGGAAGTAAGGGTAAGGGGACTAGGGGAAGGATAGTACCCAAGGGTGGGGCAGGCGGGGTGACGGGCCGGCCTGGGGAGTTGGGGCCCGGGGGTCACCAGAGGAGAGAGCTTGTCTGGCTCCCGGGCTTGTCTGCCTGGGCTTGAACCGGGCGCTGTGTGTTTTGATTAATTTGGAAGCTCGCATTACCGGTCTGGCAGTTGGGGCACTCTGAAATGCCAAGAGCAAGAGGCAGCTGAGGGGAAAGAGAAAGCCCATCCTTTTCTCTGCTACGTTGAACTGGCTTTTCAGGCTAAATCTTATCTGCGGAAACGCAGGAGAAAACAAGACCCGACTGTGGTCCAAAGTGGCTCCCCCTGAGACTCCCTTCTCAGAGGTGGCCTTGAATGCAAACCTGCAGTATCTGGCTTGTTTGGGCAGCGTGTCCAGAGCAGGCCTTGCCCTTTCTTCTGCAATGGACCCCTTTGGCTCCAGTGAAGCATTTGGACCTCTTCTCAGAATAACGTTGTTAAATGCATAAAATACAATTAAACCAGAATCAGTTTCACTGAAATACCAGATATTGAAGTCAAGATATAGTAGTATGTGTGCAACGTTATGAATGAGTTAAGTAACTATAGATCTGACAGCAGGTATGTTAACACAACTGTAGGGATGACTGTAAATGGTATTTTGAGATAACTGCAAACACTGAAATGTAACATAAAAATACCAGAGGTTTCTATGGGTGCAAACTCTCAACAATCGCTAATACTGCGGGGGTTTTTGTGTGTGTGTGTCTGCCTGTATTCATAAATGAAGAAAATGCTGAACTTAAAATAAAAATGTTATTTTTTCCCATTCAAGTCCACCAAACCCCAAAAGCAAATTTGTTGCTGTCAAGTCGATTCTGACTCATGACGACCCCATGTGTGTCAGAGTAGAACTGCACTCCACAGAGTTTTCAATGGCTGTAATCTTATAGAAGTAGATTGCCAGGCCTTTCATTCGAGGCACCCCTGAGTGGATTTGAACCACCAACTTGTCGGCTGTAGCTGAGCGCCAATGATTTGCACCACCCAAGGACCTTCCAGGTTCACAGACCATCTGAATTCCATCCCCAGGTTAAGGACGTCTGCTTTGGAGCAGTGCCATTGACATCTGCAGTAGTTGGTTATCAAATGGCAAATGGGAACTATGAGTTGGTCATTGATTGCAGGGGATCATTTACTTGCAGTTAGAATCTTACATGCATTAATATTAGTGTCCTGGACCTGTGTGGACCATGTAAGTAGGCAAAACCCTGATACTGAGTGAAGACCCTCCCGCCACATTTTTCGGTTTGTTTTGTTTTTGGCTGTAGAGTGAATATTACAGCCTTCCCACTGTCTTTTATGCCAGTGATTCTCAACTGTGGCTAGACATTGGAATCAGCCGAGAAGCTCTAAAAATCCCGATGCCCATCATGCCACGCCAGTTACATCCGAATCTCTAGTGGTGGGGATTCAGGTGTCAGTAGAGATTTCTCTGTGTAGTCAAGTTTGAGAGCTGCTGCGTACATGCACATTTCTGTTAGCTGCATTGAATTAGGATCTCCTCTTGGTCGGATAATAAAAGGAACATTTATTAAACCATTTACTAGGATTCACAGAAGAACACCGGGTGGTACATAGTAGCTTTTCCCCATTGCCAGGGAGGGTTCTTATAGAACCTTCTCCTGCCATCCTTGTGAGTGATGACAGCAGGTGCTGTGATGAAGTGACAGTGTCCAAGAATTCCAAGAGGCGTATGATAATCTTACATGAACTGACATTACTTCCTGAAAACCAAACCGTAAGGCCAGTGCTGAATGCTCTTCCTCTTTGCCAAATTCCAGATTTCTCAATTTGAATTTTGATTGCCTTTTCCAGAAGCTGAGTCACTTTGATGGAAGACCCCTCCCCCGCAAAAAAATCAAACCTATTGCCATTGAGTCAATTCTGACTAATGACTATCCCATGTGTTGCAGAGTAAAACTGAGCTCCATAGGGTTTTCTTGGCTGTAATCTTCACTGAAGCAAATCACTAGGCCTTTCTTCCATGGTGCCACTGGGTGGGTTTGAACCGCCAACCTTTCGGTTAGTAGTCAAGTGCAAACCATTTTTGCCACCCAGAGCCAGACTTGGTTTTATCAGCTTTGCTATGGGAGACAGGTGTCAATTGCAAGTCACTGCTGTGTAGCAAGAGAGCTGGAGTACAGGAAGAAGGAGGCAATGCCTCAGAGCTTGGTCTCTGGAGTAGACTCTGGATTTACTAGAGTGACCAACCTCTCTGGGGCTGGGTCATCTCTTCTGTAAAATGGGGCTAGTCATGGTACCCATCTCAGGCAGTTGTAGGAGTCTAATGTGATAATCCATTTAGAAGCACTTTGTACAGGGGCTACACATAACAATCATACTGGAATCCCGTTCTCCAGTTGCATAAAGAAAAATACCATGAACCTGATGAGAAATGGTGGCACAAGGTGGAGATACTCTTCTCAGCTCTCAGTAGTAAAAGGGACAAGAGTCAAGCACACCTGTTAGCTTCCTTGAGGTTAATGCACTTCGAAAGCATCTAGAACCTCGCTGGATGCCATCCCTGAGTCAAGCAGCTTTGACCTGCACAGAGTTGTTAGTAGGTGGCGTCGAGTCATAACAACCCTATGTACAATGGAATGAAATGCTGCCTGGTCCTGTGCCATCCTCACAATTGTTAGGCTTGACCCCATTGTTGCCACCACTGTGTCAGTCCATCTCATAGAGGGTCTTCCTCTTTGTTGCTGACCCTCTACTTTGCCAAGCATGATGTCCTTCTCCAGGGACTGGTCCCTCCTGATAACATGTCCAAAGTACATGAGACAAAGTCTCACCATCCTCGCTTCTAATGAGCATTCCAGCTATACTTCTTCCAAGACAGATCTGTTCTTTTGGCAGTCCATGGTATAGTCAACATTCTTCGCCAACGCCGTAATTCAAAGGCATCAGTTCTTCTTCGATCTTCTTATTCATTGTCCAGCTTTTGCAGGCATATGAGGTGATTGAAAATACCATGGCTTGGCTCAGACACACCTTAGTCCTCAAAGTGACATCTTTGCTTTTGAACCCTTTAAAGAGATCTTTTGCAGCAGATTTGCCCAATGCAATGTGTTGTTTGATTTCTTGACTGCTGCTTCCACGGAGAGCTTGTTAGAAATGCAGAATCTTAGCCCCCACTTAGACCCCTGAATCAGAGTCTACATTTTAAGACTATCCCCAGGTTATTCATATACACATTGAAGTTTGAGAAGTGGCAGATCTAAAAGCAGATTTCACCATCCATTTCCGCCTCTCTGTCATATACACACTTCTTCTTTAATATAGCGTTTGGTATGTGTCTTAGTCATCTAGTGCTGCTCTAACAGAAATACCACAAGTGGATAGCTTCAACAAAGAGAATTTATTCTCTCACGGTCTAGTAGGTTACAGGCCCAAATTCAGGGCATCAGCTCCAGAGGAAGGCTTTCTCTGTCGGCTCTGGAGGAGGGTCCTTGTCATCAGTCTTCCCTTGGTTTGGGGGCATCTTAGCGCAGGAACCTCAGGTCCAAAGGACGCGCTGTTCCCGGCGCTACTTTCTTGGTGATATAAGGTCCTCCACTCTCGCTTGCTTCGCTTTTCTTTTATCTCTTGTAAGATAAAATGTGGTGCAAGCCACACCCCATGGAAATTCCCTTTACATTGAATCAGGGATGTGACCTGGGTTCAGGTGGTGTTACCGTCGCACCCCCATCTTCTTTAACATAGAATTACAAGCACAAAGTGGAGGACGGCCACACCATGCTGGGAATCATGGCCAGCCAAACTGATACACACATTTTTAGGGGGACATAATTCAATCCATGACAGAGTGCTTACCAGGTATTATTAATTAACTGAATTCTGGATGTTTTCAAAGTTGTCTTGGGGTCAAGAGAGTTGATTTTTCAGTTGGTATCACTGAATTATACACCTGAAAAATGTGGAATTGGTAAAGGTTGTGTTATATATACATTACAACAATAAAGAAAAAAGAAAATGAAATGTGTAAGGGAAAAAAATACCAGGTCATAAAATCAATGACTTTATTATTTTTAATAAAATAGGAGAATTGATTTTCACAATTGGTTCTCTAAATATGAAAAAGCTAAAGGAGAAAGAAGATGGTTCTTTTTGTACATCAAAGTCTCTGATTTTGACTTGGATGCCAGATAAAGATTTTGAATAAAATTGAAGCGGCCAATTGCCTTTGACAAGCCCTATGTTACTATTTTTGCCCCATTTTCAGTATCATGGTGTTCTTAACTGGTGCAGATGATTAACCTGCTTGGATGC